ACTGGGGAGCCCAGAATTGGACACAGTACTCCAGATGAGGCCTCACCAGGGCAGTGTAGAGGGGGAGGAGAACCTCCCTTGGCCTGCTGGCCACACTCCTCCTAATGCACCCCAGGATCCCATTGGCCTTCTTGGCAGCCAGGGCACACTGCTGGCTCATGGTCAACCTGTCGTCCACCAGCACTCCCAGGTCCTTCTCCGCAGAGCTGTTCTGCAGCAGGTCCGCCCCAAGCCTGTACTGATGCATGGGGTTGTTCCTCCCCAGGTGCAGGACCCTGCACTTGCCCTTGTTGAACCTCATCAGGTTGCTCTCTGCCCAACTTTCCAGCCTGTCCAGGTCATGCTGAATGGCAGCACAGCCTTCTGGTGTATCCACCACTCCTCCCAGTTTGGTGTCATCAGCAAACTTGCTGAGGGTACACTCTTAACTTTTCGTCCAGGTCATTGATGAAGTTAAATAAGACTGGGCCTAGTACTGACCCCTGGGGGACACCACTAGTTTGCTTCAAGATTGCTTCACGATTCAAGGATTACTTCAAGAGTGTTCAGTAAAATAACTCAGTGTAACTTTTCGTCTGCGCATGAAAATCTTTCAGGAGTTGTGTAAAAATCTCCAGATGGTTTTGCTGAAATAACTGAAGTTATTTCAAAGGTCTGATGGATGACAAAACTTCTGCACAAGTAAATTTAGGCCGGTATTTTCAGATGTTTCCAATGAATTAAGACGTGTAGATTTTTGCTTATAAAAGTAGAGATGTTTTTGAAAGTTTAGTGTTCCTAAAAAATCAGGACAGTTTTATTGAATATATGAAGGCAGAGACTTCTGAATGTCCCAGTGGTAGAGCCACACCAGCTGGAGCCTTGGGGTGTCCAGTTCTTGGCATCTTGTGGTACATTGCTGGCAATAGTGCCAATGGGAATTTCCTTCCTGAGATTCCTTAGTGTGTGTCCACAGCCCTTCCCTTGGGAAAGGTACAGGAGAAAAAATGCTTGCGACTGGAGAAAAAAAAAAAAGAAAAAAAAAGTAGCACAAAACATGAGGAGGTGGACTTTCAGAGGTGTCACTGTTTTTTGTACTGGAGTTAATGCTAAAATAGGCAATCGGGTTTTACTTAGTGGATCGGAAAATACCGCCCTTTTTCAAATGTAGACGATGAGTTACTGAAATACGTGGCCCTAGTTGCTCCTGTGGGGGAAAAAAAAAAGCCTGAGATAAAAATAAGACTTTAGGCCTATTTAGATTTTAGTGGTTGTGTTTTGAGACAATAGTGCAATACTGGAATGCTTCTGTGAAAAGTTGGTCAGAAAATCATCAAGTCATGTTTAATGGAAGAACTTGTATTTTCCACAGATTTGTTTTTGCTGCCCATGTTATTTCTTCACTTTCCCTGCCTTCATAGCTCAAAAATTTGCATTCATGCTAATGTGTTTGTTTTTTACCATGCTCATCTCTAAGCGTAACATATCTGAAGGCTTTGAAAACCACAGCGCTCCTAACAGATGCTCTTACTGGCAGCTTCTTGTTTGCTTTTGTGCTGGCTCTGGAATAAATGGAGTTGGTCACATATACTTGATTTCATCTCTCATCAAAATGTGTGACTGCATTTTATGATTTTTAAATTACAACAACTTTATTTTGGGATCTAGCAGTAGCCAAGCAATCTGGTTAGTTCATATCCTTTTTTAACAAAGGGAGTTTTTTTTTCAAATTGCATTAAGTTTGCTGGCAGCCAATGCTAGGAGTGTTTTGGAAACCTCTCTATTTCTATTTTTCCTGTTGTCGGAGCTTCTAAGACAAAGCTAGAATATTTGGCAGTGCCAGTGAAGGTAGGAGTTTCAAGATGTTTTTTGAGTTGACTAATACGTAAAGTTCCCTGGGCTGCCACTGTGTCTCTCTGTTGAAGAAATTAACTTTAAGAATACAGAACATGATGAAGTATTTTCTAAACATTTTTAGGAAACAAACGTCTTGGGGTTTAAAGGACCACGTAAAATGAGTGTGATCGTACCAGGAATGAATATGGACCACGAAAGAGTTTCCATCAGACCACGAAATGTAAGTCATACCGTCAGTGAACGATAAAAATGACTTGAATTCTTTTTCAGGTAGAGTTGTTTTTCTAAAGGTTTATAGGTTAAAAAAACCAGTATTTGAACAATTGCAGAACAATGGGATGTGTGACTAGTTCTGTGACTCACAAAAGCACTACAAATAAGAATGTATTTTGATAACAAAAGGTACAACTAACCTTTTCCAAGCTGTGGGAAGGACTCGAATGCACATTCACATTAAGATATCAGAGTTCTCCGTTTCATTCGATGACGCTGGTTTGAGGGTTGAAGGTGACAGTTTAATCTTTGGGCTAGGATTTATGAACTTTTTTTATGTGAATTTATTTTTTGTCTTGTGAGAGTGTTAAACTGAAGTGTGTGTCTGTGGTGTGTGCAGGAACATGAGACCCTTCTTGCTAGATGGCAGAACAAAAATACAGAGAGTATCATTGAGCTGCATAACAAAACGCCAGTCTGGAATGATGACACCCAGTCCTACGTTTTAAATTTCCATGGTCGAGTCACACAGGCCTCAGTGAAAAACTTCCAAATTATTCATGATAACGATCGTAAGTATAGCTCTCTGTCTGTAAGTGTAGAAACAGTACTGCATACGCAGCCTGACGGTGATTCTGCCCTTACTGTTGTTACCTGAGTGAGTTTAATTTAGTTGTGTGGGTCCAACTTAATGCTGCTCTGCCTTGTGGCTGTGACATTGATGCAAGCTTGGTGTTCAGATGCTCAGGCTTGAGAAAGGTGGCTCTGCCGCGTGCTGTCTTGGTTTTCTCCCTTGGCTGCCCGATGTGTGAACCGAGCGGCAGTTCAGAGTCGTTCCTGCTCTCAGAGCTGCGGTACCTCCGCGGGACCGCGGGGCTGTATCGCTCCGCTTGAGCGCTTGCATCACACAGTCTTTCCATGGGCTTTTTGTTCCCTCTGCCCCCCACACACCGCCCAGCTGGAGGTGCTGCAGTCAGACCGGTCCCACCGCACACCCACTTTGCCATTACTGGTCTTTGTAGCATTAGCCTTACAGAACACCCTAAAAATGTCGGGACTGCCTTTGACACCATCACTGCGGCCTTACCAGTTGCTGCTTTCTGCCAGCAGCGCACAACCCCCTTTCTTCTCCAGCTTGGGTACAGTTGTTAGAGCAGGGGTAGAGGCAAGTACTCGAGAGGAGTGATGCTGCCCCACATACCCTCGCTTCAGGCAGGCATAGCCACGAGGTGCTGGAGCGCACTGGGCCATGCCAGTGCCATGCTTCGGCTGCAGGCGAACGCTGGAAACTGGTGAGAGCGGCTGTGCCAGTCTCCAAGAGCAACACTGGGTTTGAAACATTGGTGTATGTGTTTGCTGCATTTTATAAGGTGAAGGAGGTACACCTGCTTCTGCGATGAAACATTTTCATCTGTGCATGAGGCTGAGATTTCCTCTTGCTGACAAAGAGTCCAAAAGGGAAAAAAGTTGAGGAAGAATTTCTCAATACAGTATAACAGAGACACGTGATTAGGTCTAGATCACAATCATGCTTTCTCTTCCCCTGTTATCCTTGCTTGTCCACGTGCCTGAATTTAAGTGGGACGAGAGCTAATTGGTTCTTGGTGCATGTGGAACTTGGCGCTAGGTCTGTGTAAGAGGTCTGAGCATTCTATACAGAAGCAATTTTCTCTCTGTGCTTGAAAAAACCACTTTTCTCTCTGTATAATTTTTTTGAAGACAGTAACAAAGTCTTGCAGTCCTTTATCCTTCAACTGTTCCTCGCTCAAGCTATCCTTGCCTCTCCCTCTGATATCAGCACACCCACATGCATGACCAAGTGTTGCAAAGTCTGACTGAGCGAGCACATTATTTTGTTGAGCGGGGCCAGAGCATGAAGTTGAATGCATACTTATTTAGTAAGGGCTGCAAATAAAAAGTGAGAAAGCATTATTTTTGTGACCTTTCTTGCAGCTGACTACATTGTGATGCAGTTTGGCCGCGTGGCTGAGGACGTGTTCACCATGGACTACAACTACCCAATGTGCGCGCTGCAAGCCTTTGCTATTGCCCTTTCAAGTTTTGACAGCAAGCTGGCTTGTGAGTAAAGGGGCATGGGTGAGCATCCTCTGAAAGGAAGCCGTTTGCCATATGATTCCCAGTTCCTGCTGGTGTCACTTACGGTCTGTACTAAACAGGTCAGGGAAAACACAGTCGTGGAGGACAGCCCTGTTGCTGAAGAGAGAGTAAAAGGAATCTTCTAAAAATTCAGGACATTCAGGAAATAATATTTTCCCTTTTTTTCTGTCATATTTTTCTGGAAGTGGCATCAAGTTTGTGTAAATAGAAGTTCTGTCTCATGCCCTTGATGATGTTATGGAGATGTGCCATGATGTACTGTACCGTGGCTCTAGTAGCACCATTATAACGGTGGCTTTTTTAAATCCAGAAAGGGCGTGCACGCTCAAAAAATTTCTTTTTACATTTAAGAATTATTCTGAGGCTGCAATCGTACCTCAAGGTTGCATTCCTACATCGACTAATCAGAGCTTCACATCATCCAACGTAAAAGAAAGATCACAAAAAAGATGCACTTTTTTGAATTTGCAAGGATCTCGCGTAGTATGAAGCCAACTCTGAGGGTTGCAAACCCATACAGGACTGAACTTGATGTGTTGCTATTGTATATGTAGAAGGGCATGATGAATTTTAATTGCAGTAGGAGGAAATGGAGAAGTAGAAAGCACAAAATAATGTTGCACAAGTCACTTGAATTCTAAGCTGTCATTATGTTTTAACATCTACATGCTTTTTGATTTGTTTCAAATGAAAATGTATTTGGAGTACAGAAAAGGAAAAGGAAAACATCTAGATGCCAAGAAAGCATAACTTATGTTGAATTTGGCATGTCGCGTGTTGGGAATTTATATCCTTGTATTGCTGTGGTAATTCAAACACATATTTTGTATGAAGTGGTATAAACAGTTGGATAAAAGCTCTCTGCAGAGAATCTTACTATTCTGAACAGGCTGTGTAAGGCTGAGGAAGGTAAATGGAAATATTTTATTAAATTTGTCTGGCCTTTTGCGATTTTACAGTTTGTTGATTGCATTTTTTTAAACTTTCAGCAACAACCACTTTTCATCTTTATTTCCCATTGTAAGAACACTTGAAATCGATTGAAACTGTGTATGTTGTTCTCTAATGTAGACGTGCCAGCTACTGAGCTAAATCCTTCTAGGCAAATCTAGTGTATGGTGCATACAAATGTGACACTGGCAGGACCAAGAATAGCTTAAAAGTGTGGATTTTTTATTTCTTTTTTTCTGATTTATCTGGAATATATAAACAAACACCATTTCAAAGAAGAAGCCATTCTCTGCTCTTCTCTTTTGAACAAAAGCCAAGAGCTGCAACTGAAAGCACACTGTAAAACACCTTTAAAAATACCGAGTCTTTCTGCCATTGGTCTGTACAATGTTATGCTAAATCGCACACAAAGTAATAGAATGTACATGTAGCTCACCAGAAGGGTATTGAAATGTGAGCCAAGTGAAGGAAGTAGTTGCATTTTATACTGTGTGCATTCAGATCCTCCTTTTTACTCTTTATAGACTGATGCATTGCACAACCAAAGATTATATAATGAGAAAATGAGATCAAACCCGCTTGTCTCATAGCTGTCACTCCCTTTTTGACTATAGAGGACAGGCCATAAGGAGAGCCTGTGCTATTTGGACTGTATAATTATAGCTAATGAAAGAAATATGCTCTCTTCTTCCATTTGCCTTCAGATCTCCTTCCCAGTATACAGACAAGGAAATTTCAGATGACAGGTAGAAATAAGTAATTGCTAGCATTTTTTACAACCTTTTTAAAAATCTATGGAAAAAAGTCTGCTGGCTTTGAACAGTGTTCTGTTGATGGACTCAGCCTGTCAGATGTCATCTTTAAATAACAGGAGGCTCTGCCATATTTTTCAAATCTTTTTGCAAGAAGCCTTTCCACACAGTGGTATAAAATGGAAAGAGACCTTTTGTTTGAGAGAAGTGAGCAGTCAGCTCCCTCAATGAATGATCAAAATGATGAGTCGTGAGCTGCAGTGTGATACTTGGGCTTTGCACGTGGATGCTGTGTCTTCCCCTGTGGTCGGTGGTCCTACCACTTCACATCCCCATCTGTGATCTCACTTTGGATTTTAGGAGAAGGCTCTTAGACCTTTGGTTACCTCATGTCAGTCTTTAAAAACTAGTTCCAGTGATAACCAGAGTTTTTTGTTTGGACTAGTGCAAAACCAGCCAGGAATTCCCACTGCTGGTATTTAGGTATGATGTGGATTTCAAGAACTCTGCAGCATGGGAACGGGTGAATCTGCACAGCTTTAACTCTGTGGCTCACCTCTCGTACGTTTTCTTTAAAGCCTGAGAAAGTGGCATCTGACAGAGTTTTCTGTCTCTCCCTGCGCACAATGCTGTGTCAGAGGAACAAAGGGTCTTACGGTGCAAGCACACGATCCGTTGGCTTTAGCAGGGGAGTTGGTTTAGGAAGGGTTATTTTTAATGCGGCTCGTAACAATGGTCTGACTTAGATCATGGCCCCCAGGGAACTGGCACGAAAAGGAAGCTCACGGACGGTGAACTCCCGCACAAAGGTGGCGAGAGCGAGGGGCTGAGGAAAGGTGGCGAGTTCAGCTTCTGGGGACAGTTTTGCTGCCAGCACATTGTGTAACTTCACTCTCACTGCATGTTCTTCCCAGGCCAGGTATTTTTTTTAACCTGTAAGCATGCCAGGAGGAAAGTGGTGACTTAAATTCTCATCATCTTAACAGAATCATACAGGGACGTCAGCCAACGAGCTGCTGAGGAAAAAATTCCCCACCATAAACTGAGGTCACTAGAGGGGGACGTTAACCTGGGACTAAGAGGAATGAGGAGCTCTCATTAAATCTGGTTCAGTTACACTAGGATTTGCCAAAACCCTAATTCCTCGCTGTTGTTGATCAAGGTACTGCGTTCTTTTGATTCACTTGACCATTGCCATCTGCTAAGAAAGCAGTTTCTTTTAATTTAGCGTCTGTATAATTTCTGATGGACACTTTCTGGTGAAGGGCACTGCTGCGTATCGATGCAGGGTGATATCACAAGTTTTCCAGCACATCTCCAAATCTTGTTTTCCTAATTTGGTCAAGTTGCAGCAGGTTCTGTCATAACATACAGTTATTCCTGAGATTACACAGTTCTCACAAAGTTTCATTTTTCCTCCAAACCAGCAATAAAACCTTGGCACCACTATATATTTTCAGAGGTGTATGTATACTAAAGTAACTGAGGAGTAGTTAGTGGCACACTGATATTAGTCGTAGCTTCTGCAGGGCCTGCATGGGCAACGGGGCATAACCTTGTTTACTTAGTGTGACAAGGAGTACAATGGCACGGATCTGTGCATTTCCTTCACATAGTCCTTGTGCATGTTTGGATACAGCAGATTTAATATTATTTAAAATCCCAGTATTGATGATTTTTTGCATCTGCTGTTGATTTTGGCAGAGTTGTAAACAAATTCCTTGCCTGAATTGCTTATAGGCAAATACTGCATGCTTTAATGAGAGTTCTTAATCTAACTTGCCACTCTGTTTACATCAAACAGTTTCTTCCTGGCCCTTTATCTAATTTTCTTCATCTCTGATGTTCTGTTCCTTCTCATTCTCTTCGCAGTCCCTTTATCTTTTCTTCAAGGATGCGCAACTCAGAAGTGTTTATTTTGACAATATTACTCAGTGATCTCTCCACAGATGAATAATGCCCTCGGTGCACATCTCAGTGATGCTCCTACAATAGGAGCCTTATCAGAGGGCTGAATTTGGCCCTTTGGCTTTTCAGCAGAGTAAATTAACACATTAGAAGGTAGCAGATAAAAAAGCTTGCCTAAAATATAATCAGAATTTTTCTCGGTAAACATTCGGTAAGCAGAGTTTCCAAACCATTGGTCGCAAATGAATGAGCAGAACTGTCCGCAAGCCTGGAGGCGGACTGTTAGACAGATTCCCTCTGTAGTGCTGCTTTATTTTTCCTTTTTCAAAAGGCTGAGAGTGATTTTGTGAGCTGAAGCGTGTTGGTGCCCTAAAATAGAGTTTATTTTTTAGAAGCTAGACATCACTCTGCTGCTTTTGTAGGATAATATATGGCACATAAAATAGTAATATCGCAGGCCACTGTTACACATTCTGATGCTAGGAAGTCTGTACGAATGGTTTTGTAATAATTGCTGGGCAAATCTCTCGCTATTCAAGTTGCCTTACAGTCGTGCTGGACTTCCCAGCTGGCTGTCCGTGTGAGGTACCAGAACTGAAGGAGCCTTAGTGAAAGGGGCTCTGTAATAAAATCTGGTAGCTGCGCAACCGAAAAACATTATTGTGGCGTCAGGTGACACCACTGAGTTTTATCGGTGGTGGTGAATCGATGCAACCCGTTCGAACTTGGTCATGGTGAATCAGTGCAACCCATTCAAACTTTCTGGCTTTTTGCTCGCTTTTGATGAACAAAAGCAAGGACTGTCAACAAGCACAGGCATCAGTGAGGTCTCTAGAAGTACTAAGCATTAGACCTACTTTTTTACCTATAAAAATCTTACCCCTACCTGAATGCTGCCTATTAAAAAAGAAGGAGATCAATCCAGTCCTTAGTATAGAAAATCACTCCCAGTTCTTGTATCTTTGCTTTTTACAAATTTTAGTACTAGTTTAGTAGTGATTTCACTGGGCGTCACACAGCAAACAAGAGTTCTTGCTCTGAAGAGAGGATGACTTTAGACCAGTATCAGAGTATTTTGTCTTTGGTTGTTTCAGTCAGATAGGACAGGGGGTTTCTCGCTCTTTTTGGCAGAGAGAGTTTCTCCTGATGTGTGGCAGGTGTCAGAGGGAAGATTTTGGGGTTGATCCTGTGGCATTCTAATTAGTTCCCCCATACTATCCCGTTGCTCTCCTAAATTGTCATTTGCAAGATTTTTCCTGGTTTTAGAGAACCATGTGCTCACCAATAAAATACCTTTGCTTGGCAAATAAGGACAGCTCATGTGATAAAACAGCAATCACCTTTATTAGAATTATGGGCTGATGTCGCTCGGATTTGTCAAAAGGCCTCATTCTGATTACTAGAAGAAAGTAGTTTTATACATATAAATCTTGCACTAGAATTAATCTAACTAGATGCAGGCTTCTCTTGCGTGTGCTACTTAATGAAAATGGATTTCTCTTGATCTTCATGTACAAAAGGTACCTTCCGGGGTTCTCCTCTGCGAGTGTTTGAAATTAATGACGTAGATATTTTTCAGTTCTTTTTGTTGCTTGCCGAGGAACTAAGAAAAGGATTTGCACAACTATCTTGATGTCTTAGTATTTTGCTGTGAACTATAGCTCAGTAGCTGATACTCACAAATGCCTGTATATTGGATGAAAATGCATCAAAACTTATTTTATTTGTTGTATTTTACTTAACTACCTAGAAATTTTAGATTCCTCATTTTCAGTAAGGGTATGTGTATCGATAAG